TCTGTTTTATACACAAAAGTTCCAGCTAGTTGTTTTAAATCAGGAGCCAAACAGAAAGAAGGCAGTTAGTCTCTGAGACCTGAACAAGATGTTGTATCTCATCCATTTTAATCTATTTTTTGACATTTTTTTCCTGTTCATTCTTAAATGTTTTGTTTTAAATATAAAAATCAGAAAAATAATAAAAGAAAATTTAGGAGGAAAACCAAACAAACAAAACTAGATCAAATGGATTCGTAAAGCTCTTACCAATTTTTTTAATTACAGTTTTCTTTAAAAATTGTATGATTGCTGAATACTGAATGACCACTGAAATCAGCTGAAGCTGAAACTCATCTGTTAAAGCTAAAGGAAACAGAACAAGGGCTAAAAGCTAAAGGAACAGAACACATTAGCTTAAAAACAGAACACAAGCTAAATGCTTACGGGAATAAAATGCTCTTTTTACGCAACACTAGTGAAAAGTAGCAAAAACAACTAGCTAAAAGCTAACTGATGTACAAGACAAATTAGAATCTAAAAGTAGTCAAATGTAAGTTAAGAAAAAGCAAAGGATAGCTAAAAGCCAAGGTAACAAAAGGGTAGCTAAAAGGAAAAAAAATGCAAAAGGTTAGTTACAAGCTAAAGTGGCAAAAGTCTCAAAAGGTAAACTGAAATTTTAAAAGTCTCAATACACTAAATAAAAATTATAAGAAGCAGAACGGTAGCTAAAAGTTCAAAGAAGCAGAACAGTAGCTAAAAACTGAATGTGTAAGAAAGAACAGTGACTTATGAATCAACATTCACACAACTAGATGTAAGAGGAGAAATGTGCCCCCCAAAGTTATTGTTTATTGAGTCATTAAAGAACAAAATGTTTGATTTGTTCGTTTAGCCTCTTGGCCAAAATGATGCAAACTTATCGGTCTGTGACCTGGAAAACAAGAAACAAAGCTTTGGAAGTTTTTAATCTGGCAGAGCACGAGATGCCCAGGGTGTTGGTGTGTGTTTGTAGAGGGGTGTGATGGGAAATGAGAAGCTGCCAAACTGTAAGGAAGCAGAGACCTGAGAGTCCCTCTGGGCCACTCAAAGGTTCAGAGGGAAAGTGTAGATTTCAGTGACTGGCACAGATTAAAAGATCAACCAGGTGTTGTTCTCGAGCAGCACACACCCTCGCCATGACGCCAGCAAGCACACAATGCTTTAGTTTTTAGATTAATATCATTTCAGGCTTCTTGGACAGTTTAGGTGCATGCAGAGGCCTGTCTTTGTTTGAGTTAAAGAGAAAAACAACCTCTTTAAGTTCCTGCTGGATAGCAGTTTCCATGACTGTCATAGTGAGAATAACGTGGAGAGACTTTAAGTGATTGCTACCTGATACTCAACTTTGACAGAGATGTTATCTGAGAAATGCTCAGCTTGGACTCCAGATAACTCATGTCTGTTGTTGGGGAGAGTTTGGGATGTAAAAAGAATACATGCTTAAGAATTAATTAAGCTTCAGGCCAAATTAGTCCTTTGTGTGCAGTTCAGTTTGCATGTGAAGTGCTTTAAACGTTTCTAAAACAACTTAAATCTCTGTCAGGGAATTTGTGGTCAAAGGTTATGGATGTTTTGATTATGGCTGAGAACATTTTTCCCCTCTGCCCTGAGAACAAGAAGCCCAAAACAAGCCAATTCTTATCTTTGCCCATGAACCATATGTTTGTGTAAATGAAGAGTGCTGTGTAAGAAGACTGCATCTGGCTTCAAGGACACCCCCTGAACTATATTGAACTATGAGCTGAGGGATATAAAAGTAAACACATAACGTGGCTCGTGGCTTTTTTCTATGACTGGTTTTCATGTGTATACATCTATGTTTATATATGTTATATATGTAACCTGTCCTGAAATCTGACCTAGCAAGTAAAATGACAGATATAAATCTTCACCTGCTGTGAAAGTGGTTCTTTTGCGTAAACATCAGAGAACAAGAGAATTTCTCCAACAATCACCTGAGCTTTTGTTGATGAATGTATCGTAGTAGGATTGAAGATAAGAAGGCCGCTTTATAAATTAATATACACCAGTACATCAACATCATAGGAAAAGAAAGGGAATTTTGCAATTGTCCACATCTCCTCAACTTGCATGAACAAGGTAAAACTTCTCCCAAAGAACGAGGAATCAGGAAAATATTGAAGGCTGAACAGGGAAGTGACGTCTCCCTGATGGTGGATCAGCTGTTTCATGAGTTGTTTGTTTGAGTCTGGAACAATTTGTTCAGTGAACAAGCCGCATTCGGTCTGCTGTGGGGATCTTTTTAGATTGAATTGTTTCTTTTGCCTTCTGTGTCTTGCTGAGCTACTGCTGGCGCATAACGCTGGCTGAGAAAACTGTATTTTTTTTTGTGTTCTTGCAGTGTTTGAGCTTCTCATATGAAGATAAATTAGTCTCAAAAGTAGTCTCACAAGCATACAAGAGTTGTGAAACTTGTGGTACACTTGTGGATCTTATTGTATGCACGCAAATCTCATTGTACGCTTGTCCAACTACTTTTGAGACTGATTTATCTTCATATTCTCATGACCGCTCAGCTGAGCTTCATCATAATCCTGTCAGGCAGTCGGTTGAGAATGGTCAAGGAAAATATCTTTGCTGCAGGAAAAATGGGCTCACGTTTTGTTTGAACTCTGCAGATTTGATGTGGTTGGCTGAGGGTGTGCGGTTGTGCAGAAATGTACAGTTATTGAAGTTCTACAAAATAATATGAGTGAATGAATCAACTCAAAGACCTGTGCAAGTGTTCACGGGATGTTTCCAAGTATTTGCTTTACAGTTTATAATACCAAAATAGATTCTGCTGACATGAATGACTTAAATATTTCCTCACCAGTGACCTCATGTACAAATGGTGGGTATGCATGTAAACGTGGCATACATCATTTTCCACACAAAACTTCACATTTATCAAGAATGAAATGACCATGGAAATGGGTGCAGCCCTATGCCAACTTCATGGCTGATGTACGCACGTTTCTATGGTTATTGATCAGTTGGCAACACTTAGAGGTGATACTGGGAAACTGTCAGTGATGTGAAAACTAGTATTGTACACGCAGAACACACACGACGAACAATTAATACATCCACATGTATGCAATTAGATGGATGGATATAAAAGCATGCGCAAAGTGTTGCAGAAAATACCTTAAACAACAATGGCTTTAGCCTTATTAGAAGATTGCAAATGGCACAATACACAGAGAGTGTGCATTTAAAGACAGAGGATTTTCTGGCCTACAATGAAGACTGGCTCTTGAGCCATTTTATGCTTCCAAGGACAATCCTTCTGGAATTGTGCTTGGAGCTGCAGCCGATCTTGATGCGTGATACAGCGAGGAGCCATGCGCTACCTGTACACATACAGCTGCTGACCACACTGGGGTTCCTCACATCAGGGGCATTCCAGAGGGAGCTGGCAGACCGAATGAATTATCCATATGTCAACCAGGTATATCAAATTCCCTGCAATGCAGCTGAACAAGTCAACATTAAAGTGCAATGTGCAGCAACAGCCAGTTTTCTTAATGTAATCGAGCTGTCAACTGCACACACATTGCCATAAAAGCACCATCACAGGATGAATAGGTTTATGTTTACAGGAAACATCTTCATTCAGTCACTGTGCAAATTATATGTGATGCACAAAAGCAGTTAACCAACATTGTGACGAGGTGGCCAGGTTCAAGGCATGATTCTTTCATTCTAATGAACAGCACGGTTGGGAAAAGACTACAAGTTGGCACAGTGCAAGATGGGTGGCTTCTTGGGGAGTACCGGTAAATTAATTTAATATGGTTAATATGTCTGACTATTTTATCTTAATTTCTGTGGGGTGCGCTGTTCTGACCCCACAGCATTTACAGCTTTGCACACATTGTCCTACTCACTCCTGTTGCGCTTGGTGCTAATGCCAGAGGACTGTGTGCCAAACAGAATGATTTTACGTACCTCTACCTCATTGAAGCGTCTTCAACTCACATTCTGTAAAATTCCTCTTTTTCATGTAGACATGCTTTTTGATAGTACAGGAAGGAGATTCCTCAGGTGCAGGGCAGATTTAAATAGAATAGAATAGAATAAAAACAGCCTTTATTGTCCCACGGATGGGAAATTCCAGTGTATCAGCAGCAACAGATAAAAAGATAAAAAGATTTAAAGATTTCACACAAAAGTTCCTACAATGTTAATAAACAATACAAGAAATAAGATAAACAATATCAATAATAATGTTCAATATGTATTGGAACATTGAGAATGGCAGACTATTTACAGTACAGTATTACAGGAAGAGTGTATGTTTAAGCAGAGGTCAGCATGTATTTAATCCTTATTTAAATGGACGCATGTCAAGAGAGGCATCACTTATTCTTTCATGTGCACTCAATTCCATGTTGATTGGGATGTACAAAGGAAGTGCACTTCATGCATACGCACGGTTTCACACATCTGGATTTATTTGTACATGCACTGTTTTCTCGATTTAAGCATACGCCAAGTGTCAGTAGGAAATCCATACAAGTCTTTGTACATGAGCCCCCGATCTTTGTCCTCTAAATGTTATAACTCCTACAATGCATAACAGACTTTGATGGCTTTCCTTTAACTAAAAGCATCAGTTTGGCTTCTTATATTTCAAATTATGCACCAGGAAGCTTTGTTCTGCTGCTTCCAAAATTTCCATTTATTTTTAAAGCCTGTATCTGAATTAGCAATGTTTCTTTTTTATGCTCAAGTTAAAATCTAAAGTTTGTGCTCTTTAGTTTTTTTTATTGTTTTTAGGCTTCTGTTATGGTTGTATGTGCCCGGTCTTTTTCTTAACATTTTTTTTTTCCTTTCTGTTCTAGACACATTTAAACATGGCATGATGAGAGAGCTGAGACTCCAGTGCTGATTTAGTAAAATAAAGAGGACAAGGCAGAAGTGGAAGGGGTCACATTTTTAGAGATTGTGGACTCCGATTTCCACTGGTGCAGATGGGTGAGACGGAGGATGAGCGCACGGCTCAGGCCAGCCAGCTTTTTGAGAACTTTGTCCAAGCTTCCACCTGCAAAGGGACTCTGCAGGCTTTCAGTATTCTCTGCAGACAACTGGAGCTGGATCCTTTGGATTACGGCAACTTCTATAGCTCGCTGAAGGCAGCGGTCAGCTCCTGGAAAGTCAAAGCCTTGTGGACTAAACTGGACAAAAGGGCACAGCAGAAGGTCTACAACCAGAATAAAGCCTGCCAAGGCACAAGGGTGAGTAAGAACAACTGATAAGGACTCCTGAAAGAGTCTGAAAACCCATAGAGGTAGAGATGTCTTCAACTGGTTTGGTTCAGCTGTTTGTTTGTGTTAGGAGAGTTAACAGGAAGTTAGGGGATAGAGCCAATAGGTCCAGGTCTGTCTACCCTCGTCCAACTCTACCAGAGATAAATCAGACAGGAGAGGTCATTTTCAGGATGTATCCAAATTCCAGTGTCGTCAAGGTTTAATAATAATGGTTTTGTTGTGCATTCATTTAATATTTAGTTTGAGCGCATTAATACATGAAGAAAACAAAGGGTTGGACTGATTAGTAGCATCCTCTCCAGCTGAACAACACGGAGTTGCAAATTTACACCTGCTTCAGTCGCCCTACTCACTGTGGGTGTTTCTTTTTGTGTAACTATATGCTGTAAAAAGCGAAAGTGTAATTAAAACAGCATGCACCCATAGTAGTCATTAACTTAAACAAACAGTGGATTATTTTTATGTGGTAATGTTTGAAAATGTTCCAGCGGCGTTGGGCCAAAAAAAATCTCCTTACTGTATTTCGTCATTTTATCATTAAGAACCCTCTAAAATGGTGGTAGAAGTACTACTGGTAGTACTCAGTATCCTTCTAGAGGTACTTGGGAGATTATTTTGGTATCGTTTTTACAAGTAAAATATAAACTAACTGTGATGGAAATGAAAATAGCAGAGATAACCAAGAAACAAAATCAACTCAAAAGTTTAGTGGAGCATATTTTGAAAACCTGTGTAAAAACTAAAGTTGATGACAGTGAACCAGTTTGTTAGTTTCAGAGAAGTCTCTGTATGGTTCCTGGCAAATAAAAAGCACTAAAAAGTGAAGTAATTAGATTCAAGATATCTCACACTTGTAATTAATTTTTGTGAGGCAGCCAAAGAGCCAATCTTAAAATGTATGTGGCACTGTTTTCCATGAAAAATGTGTGTAACCATCTTAAATTGCATCTTTGAACCAGGTGGTTTGACCAGTTTGCTTCTTTACGTCAATCCTAATCTTGTAAGCGTATAATCTTGTACTGTTGTTATATAATATTTGTCATAAAGGTGGTACTTGAGGGGAGCTTATTGTTGGTAGTACTCCTTGTCAAATGTTTCAGAACCACTGTTTGGAACAGTACTTTAAGAATTTTATAGTTCAAAAACTTCTATGACAAAAACAACACAAGTCCACTTCAAAATAAGGCAACAGTCTTGTGTTAATTGGCAGGATTAGCAATAATAAATCTGTTTTGTTGTCAGTAAAGAAAATAAAATTACATTAAGAGCTTGAAACTATAGATATTTTAATTCTAACTTGAAAGATCTTATATTTTTATTCTACTCACTAACATATTTAAATTTATACTTGGGAAATTATGAGCTAAGCACAAGCCCAGGCATTAAATAATGGTGCAGGTCAGCAGAGAATGTGGTCTTGGCTCAGTAAAATGTGGATTAAAATGAGCTAAACTGTGTCCTGATAAGCAGCCTTAGTGTTTAAATGGACTTCTTCTTTTTTTTTTTTGTGCTGTAAGCCAGAAATAAACATTAGTTGAAAAGGCTCTAACGTTAAATGTTCAACTAGTTATTCTCAGGAGAGTGAACATAATTAATTTGGTTGTATAAATAGTTTTGTAAACCTATTGTGTTGCTAACTTTGGAGTTTTGGTTTAAATGTTCAAAACTCCACATTTGTCCCTTTGTTAGCACATATTTCATAGGAAAATGGATTTGATGCAACTATTTCTATGTTTGAGCTTCAAGTTGAAGCAGAATTTATTGGTTCAGGTGCTGTTAATTGGTGGATTAACGTTTGTTCACAGATGAAAATGTTTAAGCTTCATTTTCTAATTGTATTGAATGCCTCACACCGAGGACCAAACGCATCATGGAAGCTCACACATGCATTTCATATCTGTCCTGTGAAGCTGTCCTCGCTCATATTTTAAGCAGCACTTCTAATGTTGTGTTGGAAAGAGAAGGAATAGATAAGATGTTGGGCGGGGGAAACAAGGCAGAGACATGCAGAGGGGAGATTAACACAAAATGGTTGGGCCAAAAATAACAGCTGAACTATTACTCCACTCTTTTTTTAATGCTATTTGGAGAAATTTGGGTGGGTGCATTTTGTGTTTTCAGAAACCAAAACCTATCCTTGAATTTAGTCGTCTGCACTTTTTTATCTTTCACGTCGAAGATGCTGCAGCTTCAATTCTCTGTTATTTTGTTTTAGTTTGGTAATTTGTCGCGCTAATCACAAAGGATTTTTAAGATACCTAACTTTACTCATTCTTTATTCACTTGTTTTTCCACTGTGCTGAGAAAAAGGAAAAATGCTGAAAGGAAACTGAGCCTAATGTACACTGATATTATGAAGAACTCATATCGTACTGTTCTAAAATTCAAAAATAAACAGAAATAAAAAACCAGAATCCTTTAAATACTTTAACCAGGTGGTAAAAATACTGGAACTTTTATTTTATTAGTATTTGTTATTTATTTATTTATTTATTTTAAATGGAGTGGGAAAATCAAAACAATTTGTAAGTACAAATTGAAAATACACATTGTACTGGTTGTATGGCTAATAAGTGACCATACACTAAACGTTCCTCTTCACATTATTGAACATCTCTTTGAATCCAATCACAGGTTTTATGAAATAAATGAAACACTTATTACTGAACCCTCAGTTTGAGGAGCTGCTCAGTACTAGGATATTTATATTTTAAGCACAATCGTATGTCCACCTTTATGTGAGATTTGGAGTTGAACTATTTCTCCAGTTTCTTCTTTTAGCATATGAACTTGATGGAGATTCTCCAAGTATGATGTTTATGTCTTCACTTGATGGTAATGAACCTAAGATCCCCTTTCAAGCAAATCTTTATTTTAAAAAAAAAAAGGATAGCTCAAGTGTTTTGTTTTCACTCACAGATAATCAGCCAGACAAGTTTAAATCACATCTTTATAATCCCATTTACCGGTAAATCTGATTGAGCTGTCACCAAACACATATTATAGTACCAATAATCACATGTATGGATGTTATGATTTGTGTGTCTAAGAGTATGATTCTCATTTGGGGTGTGAGAAATTTCTGTTTCAGATCCTGGACAAACCCCCAAACATGTTATGGTCTGTGTGTCAAGGAATGGCCCAAAGGAAAAACTTATGGAGTGAAAGGATTGCAACATCCATCCATCCATTATCTTTACCTGCTTTTTCCTTTTTGGGTTGCGGGGGTCACTGGTGCCCATGTCCAGCCATCACTGTGCAAGAGGTGGGGTACACCCTGAACAGGTCTCCAGTCAATCACAGGGCCACATAGAGACAAACAGCCGTTCACTCTCTTACTCACACCTAGGGTCAATTTAGAGTTACCAATCAGCCTAACATGCATGTTTTTAGTCTGTGGGAGGAAGCCGGAGTACCTGGAGAAAACCCAAGCAGGCATGGAGAGAACATGCAAACTCCACCCTGAAAGACCCCCGGACCAGAATTTGAATCAGGTTAACCTGCTCACTGAGAGGCAGCGGCTCTACCAGTTGCACCACCGTGCTGCTTGGATCACAACATTTTAAATAAATTTGAATAGAAACTCACAAACAAAACCAAAGGGTGTTGGGAGTCCCTTCCAAAACAAACAAAGTTGGGAAACACTTGTACCAGCCAAACAGTTGATCGTCAGATTTCAGTCACTTCCCTAAACCTATTATCATCAAAACCAAATCTAAACTGAAGGCTGAAATGTTGGGAGCTCCCAAATCCATCTGTATTTAATAGAAATACACACAGTGGCTCAGTTGGTAGAGCTGTTGCCTCTCAGTGAGAAGGTTGCCGGATTAAATCCTGGCCTGGGGCCTTTCTGGGTGGAGTTTGCATGTTCTCTCCGTGCATGCGTGGGTTTTCTCCGGGTACTACAGTTTCTTCCCACAGACCAAAAACATGCATGTTAGGCTGATTGGTAACTCTAAATTATCCCTAGGCGAGAATGAGCAAGTGAATGGTTTGTCTTTGCTTGTCTCTACGGGTCCCTGTGATGGACTTGCGACCTATCCAGAGTGTCCCCCGCCTCTCGCACAGTTACTGCTGGACATGGGTACCAGTGACCCCTGTGACCCAAAAAGGAAGAAGTGGGTACAGATATTATATGGATAGATGGTTAGATGGACGAGTTAACATAAATGGCAAGATTCACGGCTGACCTCTTGTTGAAGGAACGGACACATAGTCAACAAACCCACCCACCAGACTTCAATCTTCCTCTTTAATGGGTGGAGCTTGTTCCTTTTAAATTTGCCAACCAATCAACTTTGGAAAAAGGGGACATGTTTATTGAGGAGACAGCTCATTCATAAATTACACAAGGGCATTTTACAATTTGTTCTTTTTACAAAACACCATTGAACATTTTATTTCCTCGGACTTTCAACGTTCATTTTATTTCCAGTGTCTGATCATCGGCGGGGGCCCCTGTGGTCTGCGGACGGCCATCGAGTTGGCTCTATTGGGCTGTAAAGTGGTGGTGATTGAGAAGAGAGACACCTTCTCCAGGAATAATGTGCTGCACCTCTGGCCCTACACCATTCATGACCTCAGGGCTCTTGGAGCCAAAAAGTTCTACGGCAAGTTCTGCGCTGGCTCCATCGACCACATTAGTGAGTGTTTTGTTTTTTTAAGCTTATTATCCATATTTTAGTGCTGTTAATGCATTTACTTTGAATTGTGAGAACAAAATGGAATAAGCAGAAAAAAGGTCAGCTTTTCCTCTTCCAAATTTTTTCACATGCCTGTATTTCCTGTTACTGTAACAATTTAAAATCCATCATTGCTATTTTGCTTATGCAGAGAGTTCTAGTCTTGGCATTTCCAATTATGCGTTACAGTATATGCATCTGTTTCCTCTCCAGGTATCCGCCATCTGCAGCTGATGCTGCTGAAAGTGAGCCTGATTCTGGGAGTGGAGATCCACGTCAATGTGGAATTTGTCAAACTTATGGAGCCTCCAGAGGAGCAAACCGTTGACAGTACGTTAATACTCTCATACTCAAAAACTGTTATGGAATTAACTCTTTCTGTCTGAGGCTCAGATTTTTAAAAAGGAGAAAGATAATAATTTAAACATCAGAATGAAGTTTCTAAAGGGCTGACCTCAACGAGACACTTTTTTAGTATCTGAAAAGGAAATGTGCGTGCTTAAATGGTATTATCTTTATGAGAAAGGGTCTTGACTGCCACTGACACCCAGGGATTTGCCTGCATATTTCAGCTATATATGGAAAGCTCCATGCATGCTACATTTGCTGAAATTACCAGATACGCTATCAATAGAAAATGGGGGAAAACAGATTGATAGACTGCTACTAGTAAGATTGTACTTGTACTCTGAGATGGCTTTTCAAAACATTTATTTAGGAAACTTTAGAACTGCAGGGATTGTAACCCAAACATTTGTCAGAGAGGACAATGTATTTTTCCTGCTGTGCAACAACTACAATAAAAGGCACATAAATCTACAGTGTTAGAAAGAAGAATCAGTTTTCCTTTTCTTTTTCAGATCTCTCACTCTCTCTTCTAACATGTTTGATTTGTTGTGTTGCTCAGGTCCTGGATGGCGAGCAGAGATCCACCCCTCCAGCCATCCTGTTTCAGACTTTGAGTTTGACGTGGTGATCGGAGCCGATGGGCGCAAAAGCACTTTGCATGGTGAGGAATGACTCACGGTGTTGTGGGGGGATAAACACTGTCAGTTTGTTCAACAGAAACCCAATGAACATGTGGCTACTGACCCACATTCACAGAGCAGTGCTGAGGTCAGACACCATGAAATGATAAATATGACGGAGCCTTTTCCAGTGACTAAAGCATTTCCTGTTGACACTTTCAAGTGACGTGATGTTGCTTAATAACTCATGAACTTGACAAGAGCTTGTGAGATTTCTGTCTAAGAATATTGTGTGACTTTTGTGTTTGTTTGATAACTCACATAGTGCAAATGCGATTACAGTACTAGATCACAGTGATGTTTATCCTCACCCAGTGATTAACAGTTTGCGTCCTTCGTACTCAATCTGGATATTTTCTACTTGTAGATTTCTTTACAGTCTGAGTGCTTGACCGGAAAAGGGTGGAATGCCCCCTCCAGGTCAGGAGAAAGAGTTTGCCTTAGATGGAGGAGATCAAGTATCTGGGCTTCTTGTTCCCGAGTGATGGTAGGATGGAGCAGGAGATGGATCGACAGATTGGAGCCTCGTCCTCAGTAATGAAGGCATTGCTTCGGTCTGTGGTGGTGAAGAGAGCGCTGAGTCGAAAGGCAAAAATCTTGATTTACTGGTTTGTCTATGTTCCAACCCTCAGCTATGGTCATGAGGTTTGGATCATGACCGAAAGAAGGAGATCCCAGATAAAAGCGGCATAAATGGGCTTCTTTTCAGGGTTAGGGTTAGCCTTAGAGTTAGGTTGAGGAGCTTTGTCATCCAGGGGGAGCTCAGAGTAGAGCTGATTCTCCTCCACATCAAAAGGTGTCAGTTGAGGTGGTTTGGGTATCTGAATAGGATGCCTCCTAGATGCCTCCCTTTAGAGGTTTTCCAGGCACATCCCACTAGTAGGAGACCACAGGGAAGAACCAAAAATCGCTGGAGGGATTGTGTGTCTTCTCTGGTCTTGGAACGCCTCAGGGTCTCCCTGAACGAGCTGAAAAGTGTTGCTGGGGTGAGGGATGTCTGGGTTTCTCTCCTGTTGTTTAAGTGACCTGAGTACGAATGAGTGGTATAAGATGGACGGATGGATGACGATTTCTTTACATCTTCTCACTTAAACTTTGCACCTCTTTTCATCAGGTTTCGCTCGCAAGGAATTTCGAGGGAAACTGGCCATCGCCATAACAGCTAACTTCGTCAACAGGAACACCACAGCAGAGGCTAAAGTGGAAGAAATCAGTGGCGTGGCTTTCATCTTTAACCAGAAGTTCTTTCTAGAGCTCAAAGAGGAGGCGGGTAAGTAAAAGCTGTGGTGGGTGTAAGTGTAATCTAAAGGGGTGAACGTGCTCTGTCTTAAATGGCGTGTTTAATTTACAGGTATTGACTTGGAAAATATCGTTTACTACAAAGACAACACCCACTACTTTGTGATGACGGCAAAAAAGCAAAGCCTGCTTGACAAAGGTGTCATCAAAAATGTAAGTTTGGGTTCATTTTAATGTTTTTATGAGACATTTTCCACAAGAAATAGCTAAAAATTTCTAAGCCTAAACTTTTTTGACACTTGCTTTTTATAATCTTCAAAAAGCAGAAAAATATGATATGGTCTTCGTCCATATGTCCGGCTGTTCTCTTGTCCCGCTCATAACTTCTGATCTGCTCGAGTTAATTTAATGAAACTTCATACACGTACACACCATCACTAGACAGAGCGTCACATACACTCTTCAACACCCCAGTTCTGTGGTCAAGGTCACAAATCAAGATCAAAGTTATACAAGGTCTTTGCTTGTCTGGGCCGTAACTTCTGATCCACTTAAGCATCATCACTATACAGGGATTTGTGCACTTTTCATCACCCCAACTTTAAGATCAAGGTCACAAATGAAGGCCAAAGTTTATACAAGGTCTTTGCTTGCCTAGACCATTGCTATAGATTGCTGTATTGCTGTAAAATAGTTTGTAGATGGGCGAATAATGGGCGGTATTGGTACTCTTATTGCTGTTTTATATTTGTTTTTGTAACTGATGTCATTCCCAGCACTGTAAGTGGACAAATATATATATATATT